ATGTATTCTTCTGAAAGTACTATAATCATTTACGGTACGTATTACATACACATACCAATAACGATGGCTCTGGATTCTTTTGCGTAACGACAGATTGATTCGCTTCTGCAACAGCTCTCAATAAAAGTGATTGCGTAGCACGTTTTTGCGTTGGTTGCAAAGGTTTTAGCGGTCTCGGTGTTACGATAACTTTACTGGGTATCTTAGTTTCTTCCACTTCCTCTTCTTCGTCGCTCATGTCTTTATTCCCTTTTTCGAGTAATTTTAATCGCTTCTTTTCAGTCTTAAACGATAGTGATTTGTTTACGGCTATTATGCGAGACTTGATGGGGCCAGAATTTCCCGCGGATCGTGAATCATCGTCTAATTCTTCCTCCTTGCCCAGATTGAGGAACTCATCGTCCTCGCTACTTTGCGATCGCCTGACCAATGGATTGAAGCTGTTCTTAACGCTTAACGACTTAAAATTATTCTTCAATGGTCCCAATCTATTTTTTATGTTCTTATTATTAACAGGAGTATCACGATCTTGCTCCAAAGATTTACTCTTAAATTCCACGGATTCTTTATTTCTTGATTGCTTAGACAATTTATTGGTAGCCGTCGTCCCCAGACGATCTTTGATCGTAACCATCGTCTTTTCTGATGACTTGGGCTTCAAATTAGGATTCATCTTTTCCCTTAACTCTATATTTTTAATCGGTTTCTCTATCTTGGAATTGCCTAGTCGTGTTTTAATACTATTAACTCTGTCAGATTCGTCGTGCTTTAAACCGATCTCCCGGTTTCTTTTCGCACGATCTTCGGTGTCGAAGTTCCTACTTCTCGGAAAGTTATTATTACGATTGTTGTTCCGTTTCTCATTTTGTCTATACCGACTTTCAGTGTCCGCCTTTTCTCTGTGAATCTCGAACTTTTTCCTAGGCGACACCGCGCCCAAGCGAGTTTTAACAGAAACTACAGACGTAATTTTTGGTTTATTGACACAGGATTTTAATCTTTTTGTAGTATCCTCCGTTGTGCTCTCCTCGTTCTCGTCGATTTTTGATCTCTTTGTCTCGTTCTGCTTTTTCTCGGAATTATTTGCGTCTAACGGTCTTTTTAAGTTTCGGCACGACGTATTATCGTCGATTTTTGCAGCTTCGGCATGAGAATTCTCGAATTTATCACTCGTAGTTTCTAAAGCAGAAACTTCTTTATTTGTATTCGCATTTGGACTATCGTTTGACTGTATTCTCTTAGACACAGACTGCTGCGGGACAGCCTGATTTGACGAGCCATCAGATTTATTCTCTTGATTCACAGTTTTTACAGATTTGTCTGAAGTTTTGTTCTGATTCGTCTCTGATTTTTGACTAGGTACAGTAGACGGCTTCAATATTTGTTTCTGGAATGACTTATCATCCTTCAAGTTTTTATTCAACGACTTTTCAGTACTCTGGTTAATAGCTTGATCTTCCAAGAAAGAGGTCGTTGAAGTCTTTCTCTTTTTCCTTTCTTCCTCCTGCTTTACAACGACTGTAGGTACGAATTCTCTCAATGATTTTTTCTTCGCTACAGTGACTTTCTGTAACTTTTTCAATACCTGGTCGTGTAACCAGTCAACAAATGGAGTTGTACAATTCTCCAGGAATAAATATAGATCTTCATGCATCTGCTGGCGAGACTTTTTATTTACAACCATTACTAAAATATAATCTGGTAGCTCCTCATCGTAACGTATTCCCAGCTCCAGCAGTTTAGCTCGGATAGCACTCTGAAAACAAACAATAATCCTTACTCCATTATTTGCAACAAACGATTAGCTGTAAATCATGTTGAATAATTTACAGATTTTTCACTCCCTCTTTTAATTCTAAATTCTTTTAATATCTTGCTTTACTTTTAAGATCTTTAACATATGAATTGGAATTGCCAAAATACAGATTTTTCGGAGTCACAGAACAAAGTTAAGTGCCTCGAGACGAAGAGCCAAGTAAAAACGTAGACCCTTTTCTTACCCGTAATTGATTCGTAACTTCTATCCCGCGTATGTCCATGACGGACAATTACATTTAACGAGTGTGACACGTAGAAACAGATAATGGTTTTTGTACAAAGGAACCGAGAATATTATCACGGATATTAAAGGATAAAAACATTCTCCACCACGAAAGCTCAGAATGCTTCTCTCCACTGACTAGTTAGTCGATCTAGATATGAAAACCTTACACCGTCAGAGAGAAAATGAGAGGGCTCGCCATCCATGATCTCTATGCTGCCCACAGATTCTCCGGTGGAAACTCTTCCCGAATTGATCGCAAGGTGCAGCACTTTCGCTGCTGTTTCATCGTAAACAAAGGCGTGAACAATCTCATTTTCTCTCTGCATCCATATTCTGTATCCTACATATTTCTTGGTATACGAGAGCATACTTACTACTAGATGGCATCGATATTGTTTCCCTTTTTAAATTTGAAATTTCAGAAATGACGATTATTCTTAAATATTGCGACAGATTTTTAATCTATGTAGTAATATAAAATACAATGAATATTAGAGATTATTAAATCCACTCACATACGCCTTATACGATTAAACGTCAGATTCTAATTACGATATAATCATTTTAAAAATAATACCCAATACCCGCGTTCGTCTTATATATGTTTATTAGTATGCGCATCAAACTTCATGCTGATCATGATTATAAAACCATATAAAACTATTTTCATGTTTGCATGTTACGTACATGAGTGAAAAATTTGAGAATTATTTATCGTAACTATAAAGTGTACGATACGGTAAAAGAAGAGAAGATGACTCGCGTCTCTAAAAATTGATCACTTCTAGTTAACAGTCCAACTATTAATTTATCAAAACGTTCCTCAAAAGTACAATTAAACAGAAAGTTATGTCAAGTATAAAAAGTATCTTCAAGCTTTCGTATTTGCATTTACTATATGATCTCTTCATCTTATCCCTGAAGATCAGTTTCGCTATGTCCGTAGCTACTTTTAAGATGATCATACCTCCGCGACGGAAAAGTTTGTTAGGAGAGACGGTGTTGGTAAAGATACGAAGATAATGTTTGCATTGTGCATATTTTACATATGCAGTTTCTCTCGTTAGATCACCGGTGCTGGACATGGTATTGGCCGTGAGCTGGCTATAATGTTGTCTTCTTTGGGTTGCGTAATTGTCTGCTGGGACATAGACGCCGAAGCGAACCGAACAACTCTTAGAACGATATCGGAAAACGGTGGAGAAGTGAGATAAAGAATGATACGATTGAAAATTTTCTTCTTTCGCAATTCAATTTACAATTGTTCTCATATAAAATTAGGCTTACGGTTTCGTAGTCGACGTGTCGAAACGATTAGAGATCCGGGAGACGGCGAAATTAATGAGAAAAATGGCCGTGCCGGAAGTGTCGATCTTGATTAATAACGCTGCTGTGTTATATCATAGTCACTTCCTGGATCAAGATTCAGACCTTGTCGAAAAAACGTTCAGTGTCAACGTCTTTTCAAACTTTTGGGTGCGTCATATAATTAGTACCGTTAAGTACATGGTTCCAATTCGAGTACCGCTCCCAGAAATATTCTATTATAAAATAAAGAAGATTCATAATTCTCATTTCCTATCCTTGCATGCAGACAATAGAAACTTTCCTACCAAATATGATACTTAACAAGAAAGGTCATATAGTATGTGTGAGCAGTATGTGCGGTATATATGGAGTGTCTCAGAAAGTAGCTTACTGTTCTTCCAAATTTGCTCTCAGAGGTAAGTCAATTCTTAATTGCTAACTAACGAAACACAACTTGAAATTCGAACCGGGAAAACCTTTTCATACATTGGATCATGTTCTTCCGACATCTCGCGAAACAGATTGTTGTTTTAAATAACAAATATACGAAATAGAATATACAGGGTATTCCGTAACTGGTGGTACAAATGGGAAGTGAGTGATTCTATTTGAAGAACTTAGTCGAAAATATAGAATAAAATTTTTTCGTGTGAACCTTTGTTTTCGAGAATTTATGCTCGAAAATACAAAGATATCAAGATTACGGGGTATCCCGCGGAGACTTTTTATGCTCCACCAGTATATCGTACCACTAGTTACGGGACACCATGTATATTAATTTTTAAATAGGACTAATGGAATCGCTTCACGAAGAATTAAGATCGGAAGGTAAAGCAACTGGTATACGATTCACAACTGTTTATCCATTTTACGTGAACACTGGATTAGCTAGAGATCCAAAATATAGGTAAAACGTGAATCGTAAAACGTCAGGACGCGATATCATCATTACCTGACTTTATTTATATGCAGATTTCCTTGTATATTCGGCGTCGTATCACCGGCATATGCGGCAGAAGAAATAATTAAAGCAATTAGGAGGAATTATACCGAATATTCTATCCCTAGGTGTCTTTTTACTTTGAATTCCATTAACAGGTATATTACTTTTCTATTAGTTGAATATAGTGCCATTATAGCTATTAAATATTTTAAAAGTTAAAGTGATTGGCCGATTGCACTGTGTTGGTCGAGTACTGGTATCATAACTCGTACAAGTTCATGCAATTAAATGTATACAAATTTACGAATATTTGTGACGACTTAAAAATTGCAGAATGGTTCCCGACACGGTAATGAGACTGATCCTTGACTTCTTGGCCGACGTGGATAGGAAACGCCGGGAAAAACTTGTTACCTATGAAATAGACTCTTCGTAAACCGCAACGATGTGTTACACAATTACATAAGACTATACTATTACGTTTCATTAATTGCACGGAGTTACTGCTATATTTCCAAATGGCGTCATAGAAGCTGAACAATATTTCTTTACTGATGACGTCTTTTGTGTTATTAAACAATTTCTTGATTTGAAGATTGTTGTACACGATTCATTTTTAGCAGATCTGATCGTAATCAGAATTTTCTAACGGCTAAAAGATATTTAAACGAAATAATAACGGAACGTTCGACTTTCTATTAGGTAAATAGTCGAAAATAAATCGATCTTACACAACCAGTTTGTATTTTCTGCTACGTGCCTGAAGTATAAATTTCGTCGTCGACGATTGATGTTTCTTATACTCGAATTTATACTATTACGTAAGTCCTCGATTTAGACTATGTACTAATTGTAAAAACTATTATATTAATTACTTAATACTACAATTTTTGAAAATTCGTAAATAAAATTATTAGAATTACGAACAGGATTTAACGTTTCGTAGTATTATGTTACAAATGCGTAAATAGGGAAATAAGAAGAGAAAAATTCCAATACGTAAATAGGGAAGTAAGAAGTGGAAATAACCAAGTCTTTTTATTCCGTTGACTCTGGGATTAAGTACGTAAATATTCTTTTATTTATGGTTCTTGAAACAGTAAAATTGTAATAAATATGAAAGCAGGAATAAGAAATAAAGTAGAAAGACCTGAACGCAAATGACGTGAATCTTAAACTAATTTGACAAGCTGGTTCTCCCTTGTGGATTCTTCTACAATTATGCAGAATCCATGGTTTATATCCTGTATTCTACAGATCATGGTTGATTACTATTGCACTTTGACATATCGTAGTTGGAATACCCATCTGCTTCCTGATGTACCGCATTTACATAAACGATGCATTAGTCTACCGAATGATTGATGACCTAATTGAGATGATAAACAATTCTGGCCAATTGTAAATCTCACAGTCTATCTGCATTAGAATGAAGCATTGAACTTCGGAAAGCAATTCTAAATAATGTAACAGGAGTATTCTGACGAAAGATTATTCATCTTTTAAACGGAATATTCGACGGAATATTCGACGGAATATCCCAATTTAATTCTAAGATATCCATTTCAAACGAAGAAGTCAGGTATGAGACGACATTCAAACAGAAACTCATCTATATAGTAACCGGTAGAGCACGTATTTCTACGAAAAGTCATAAATAGAAACTTTACTATGCAATTCATTTGCCTGGCGACATATATGTATAATGTATACCAATGTTTGTCCGAACAAATAGACTGGCGAGAGGGAAGACAGTGAAAGAGAAATCATTGACACGATATTTTCGTGCGAGATACTAGAAAAAAATTAAAAATTCTGGCTTCTTCTTCTTTGACAGCCACAATACTTTCTTGAATTGTTTTTTATTTCACAGATCCTGATAGATTCACAGTCAGAAATTATTGCGCGAACGTAGCCTGCATCCAGTTTTTATAATAGCTTACACGCGGAAACATCTTTTATGATTATACAGTGCTGTTTGTCACTTCCTATTGATTCTAAATTTCTCGTATCATGCTTTCATTGCGCATTTATATTTCAACCTTTCATGGTCATAACAGAGACTTGGTTGAATACGATAGAACTACTTTCAAACACGCTTTCGGAGATCAGATATTATGTGAAAGCATCAAGGCTTATACGGACACGTGGTCTAACATATTATCGAAAATCGAAGAAAGGAAATATTATGATAATTATCGATTTATGAATCTTCTGATCTGAAACAAACGATTTGCAAGCGGAATTGAAACGGTAAAAAGTAAGGAGCATGTGTTGTGTAAAGGCGATGACCTTGCTGTACTCTATCAGCTTATTATTCCGAGATGTTCGAAGAAAACGGTGTTCAGTCAAGTTCAAGCGGTCGGAGTATATCCGTCGCGTGGAGTTGCTGCTCCTCGAAAGCTCCGATTTCGGTCAGTGCGACTTTTCATAAGATTTTCAACCTTTCATAAAACGATGAATCAGCGATTTCTAGTCAACTTTTTATTTTGTCTTCTAGTTTTCCATTTATTGTGTAAATACTAAAGAACACAAGTTTCTAATTAAACGGTGACCATATTAAACTATACCGCAACACCTGTGATTTTGTTGTATGTGATGTAATTTATTTCAATCATTTATTTAGATTTTCGTTCCGTAATAAATCTTTTTCCTTGAATAATGGTAATGAAATATCATTAGCATATTGTTGACAGTTCGAATTCTAAGTGACTAAGGATAAAAAAGATTAAAAAAAAAAATCATTTTTCAACGAAAAGTGTAAAGTATCAAATAATGATAAATTACACCGACGTTCACCAAGCTATTTGTAATTCTAATGTTCACATTAATTTCGAAGAATCTTTATCATTGGAACAATTCCTGCATTGACTCGTGTCAGCAAATTTTTTACGCGTATTAAAATCGCGTCAATAATTAGATATGCAAAGTTCACCTTGAAGTACATGGAATGAATACTATGAAATAAATTTTTCATTACGAATTTGTTCCCCTATTAGAAATTAGAATCAGGCATGAAAGGCAGATTTTGCGTAAACAATTTAATTTTTTGTAAACAGGAAGGACGCGTCAGTCGTGAAAATTCGTCCTTAAGATACTATTCTCGAATGTTTCACCGGTGCCGTTGAGTACCAGCGATCTTTATGCTGTACGTTGGATTCCACCGGTTCGTAATATCGTCGAGGTTTCTTGGATAACTTACGTTAAACTCCCCAGCACAAGTTCAAGGTGAGTAACACGTCACCGTTTGCTTTTTTTTTTGCATCGTTTCAATCAAAAACTAGTTAGCCAACCCTGAAATTTTCAATAACGTAACTGGGATTAAATAAATACTTCAATGAAATTCTAATAAATATGTAAAATACATGTAGAGAACATCTTATGAGAACGTAAATAAAATTGATGACACAGTATAAACAGAAGATCAAGTATTCTTTGCACAAACCAGTGAAATCTGACATACTCTCATAATTAATGAGAAATCGTATTGTAATTATTATTTTTGCAATAAAACATTTACTGCACCAAGTATCATAACACGCACGTTTACCTTGACGATGCCCAAAGAATAGAGAGGCAAGTTCACGACCGGCTTTTCTTAAGATAATACATATGCGACAGTCGCCTGCCTCAAGGATCATGAAGTCAGTGACACTACGGGCACAGACACAGAGTTCATTGCATCCATGCATTCTTGTCTATCAGGGACACATCATTTTCATGAAAATCAAGAAATAAGATTTCAGACATCAGATAATTGTATAAAGTTATTTTTCGATTTTTCTTAAATTCATTATTCTTCCGACGTCTGATTTCTTAGGAAATACGTTTTCCTAAGATATAGTATAAACTTTTCGGATTGACTGTATAGCCAATCCATCCTTAAATAGTTGAAAAACAGTTTCTTCAAAATTACAAGTAGCACTGTAAATAATGCAGGGCAGAATTAAAGAGTTTCTGTACGACTACAATGGAGAATGAAGTATCGAGTCAGCGAAGGCGAAAAATAAAAACCTGTAAAACTCTTTCACATGTTTAAAATGAATTTATAATTCCATCGAGTTAACGTGTCTACATGTGTTTTAATTTGACAGTTTAGAATGTCCTCGTCTATATCAAGTTTCCAGCTGTCACGATGATTACCATAATACCGCTTAAATTCAGAAGTATAAGTTCCCGAATATACAGCCTTCACAAGTTTGAACTCGATTACCTTTGAATCTAAACTTCAGACAAGAGAAATAAAAAGGTACGCGTTTCGGTTCATCGAACCAAGCAGTTCTGATCAAAGACCCGTTCCGGTCACCTTCTTTCCCCCACTCGTTTCTATTATTTAAAGAGACGGTAAAAAACGATGAATGTCGATGAAGTCGTCACGGACCGAATATGTTTCGTGGATGCAGGTACAAAAACAACCACGAGGCACGCGGAAGAAATCACCGATCCGTGCAATGATATTGTATGTATGCTAGCACGTGCACTGATTGTGAGTCAAATTCTGCACCCGTATGCAATCATTAAGTGAATGCTTTCACGTAATCGAAATTACGTAACCGATCTTTCTGATTCGCTCACGCTACGCTATAATTACTAGCATCGAACAAATCTTTATTGTTGTACGAAAATTATGTTTCTACGATATTACTTTAACGACACGTTATTATTCTATACAGTTCCCTGTTAAGGATGTATCGGTAATCGCAAAAGTTTATGTAGCTTAGAAAACCGCATTTCGTATAATTGAAAAGAAATCAAACGTCGGAAGAACAGTGATTTTGGATGAAAGAAATTTACTTGTTAACGTCTGATAACAAATTCAACGTGCAAGCATTGTTTAAGTATATAGCCTATACATCCTTAATCTTATATTTTCATCAAGCTTTCATATCTAGAGGTATTATTAAAGTTCCCAGTTTTCGTGAGTTACATGAAAGATAGGTATCTAATCTTTGCGCTCTTGCAAAATACGATTGCGTACACTCCTTTTTCCGTTACATCGACAATTAGTAATGCATCTCAAAACACGAATCATAGCACATAAAGTAACTCTGTTCCTCGCAATACATTTCGACGAACAACTATCACTCTGTTAACGATAAAATATAACAAATATTTTATTAGATAGAGATTAGATAAAATTCTGCACGAATTATTATGTATAACAAGATGTTACGTTAACGTCACGCATACGTGACAGTGATAATTATAATTGATGGCATACAGAAGGAACGCATACACATACGTGATACTTGGCATGATAGTGTTAATAAAAATCTAATTTCGATAAGATTTCGCTGACACTGAATTTAATGTTCCATCTTTTGTAGTATCATTTATTATTTTTTAACACGGGACCTAAATAGCTATATGTATAAATAGCATTTCGAACATATACATAGAAAATTGCTTAAAGAAAACAATTTAGACTTTTAATAGGACTAGGAAAATTTTTAACAACTTGCATTGTTTTATGAAGAAAATTTATTAAAGTAACAAACCTCTCTATGTGAAACTTGATTGTAGAAATATTTCTGAAAGTACAGATGGTATTTCCATGATTCCTTTACGTCGTAATTACGATTACGATTATGATCTTCTTTATGATTAATTATATTATATTTTCTCAATAATATCTATATAACAATTGTATAAAAATCATGAGAAACGTTACTGTAACGTTACTATAATGTTGTGATGTGTTTAAATGATTTTCGACCTACCGCACAGTGCCTGGTAGTAAAAGGGGGTAAATCGGTCAAACCGGTGATAGTGGTTCGAACCCATTTCGCTGGTCGCCAACTGCCCCGTTATGTAACGTAGATATACTTTCGCTATGCCGACTTTATTTTTCGAACGCAACCAATCCACCACCGAGAAGTAAGTAAGCTGTTCCCACATGTGAGATTATGACAGCCGCGCCGTTTGACGAGTTTCGTTCGCGTGTGCCATTGAGTTCCCTTAGGCGTCATCCGTAACAAGTTTTTAAGCACTTGGTATCCAATTTTTTGGTGCTCGAACGTTGATTGTTTTTTCTGCCGAGTGCACCGATACGAGTTTTTTCGTATGTTAAAAGTAAAAATGGAAATTGAAATTATTTAATAGACCGTGTGTGCTCCATGAAAATTTTTTTAATGGGGAGTATTCCCATTTTAATTATCTCGTCTCGTTTTACTGTTTAGTTATTCATACTTATTTATTTTCAGCATAGATGTTTTGTATAAGGAATGAAATAATGGTTACATGTTCGAGAACGGGTTCCCCTTCGTCTACAGTTTGGTTGTTCCTCACTATTGAATTTTTAATTGGTATATTTCTATCCGTTTTCCTGGCCATCCTTACGGTCATTAAATCTTTACTTCCGAAGCCACCCAGAGATTTAACGGGAGACGTAGTCTTGGTAAGAATTTCAACTTCTCTCTCTCTCTCTCTCTCTCTCCTCTGGTATTATTTTCACTGTTAAAAATTATATTTTCTTGTTCTCGTTATTCTTTTATAGATAGTCGGAGCCTCTTCCTCTCTAGGTGAATCTTTGACAGAAGAATTTGTGAAAAACGGATGTTCCGTAGTTTGCGTGGACAGTAATTCCAAATTAATTGAGGAAAATGTATCGAAATTGAGAAAACAATATCAACTGGTCGAGAAAGTTGATACGTATAGGAAAAACGACTCTTCGGTGTGCAGATCGGCGATCAACTCTTATGAGTGTAATTTGGAAGATAAAGATGATATTAGGAGATTGGCACAAAAAGTGAAAGATGATATCGGAAGAGTCGACATCTTAGTGACCTGCGTCGGTGATTCGAATCAGGACATTTTCGACACGGCTAGTAGAACGTTGATGAGTCACTTTTGGGTATGTTCTGTTCTAGAATACGTAATTCTCCTCATAAAATGAAATTACAATTCATTAAAAAGGACTGATAATCATTTTTTTACGGATAAATTAGAAAAAAAAAATTCAGATTAATCGAGTAAATTATGTTCACAGCTCTGCTTCTGTGGAAATTCTCTTTGTAATTAATATCTGAAAATATCTTTGTATTCACAGACAGTTCTGGCGTTTCTTCCATTGATGTTGTATCAAGAACGTGCCCGTATAGTCGGAGTGACTCCCGTTGCGTCAAACAGTGACGCTTATCACGGATCCAGGGCAGCAATAGTGAGTCAGTATTTCGAATTGACAACTTTCGGTAACTCAGTAACAGTTTCCGTATTATTGATTTACTGATTCCCAACGATTTGATCCAGGTCTCATGGAAAGTCTCTGCCAGGAATTGAGTAACCATACTAGTCACTTAGCATTCCTGGCATTCTCACCCATTGCAGAATGCAGGTAATAATATCTTAAATATTTCAATTTTTTAATAATCTCTAGATTGGCTCTCTATTCTACTTTGATATCGCAACTTTTAATCTCATTCTTAAAGGACTTTAAAACAGAGCGAGGAGCGAATAGCCAAGAACATAGTCAGAGCAGTGAAAACTGATCAAAATGATCTAAACATTAGTTGGATGTCAAGATTACTGTATAAACTAAGGTAAGACGAAGTAATTTGTTTCGTTATCAGAGAAAATAGGAAAGTTCTTCGGATCAAGAGTACTTGATAAAATAGAATTACAGCAGCGGATTAAGACCAGTGGATGTCCTAACCGGTAAAAATTTCGGAGCCCCCCCACCAAAAAA